ATGAGCCACCATGCCTGTCCCATATAAAGAATTTTGATGACAGGCAAGGCAAACACAGCACAAGGTAAGAGGAGGGGGTACTGACGCTCCATAAAGTACCTCAGTCTCCCAAGGGGTCTGTCATAGAATTCAGGGGATTTGTAAACTAGGTTGTGAAACAAAATTACAACTTCTAATTTCACAACTCTTAATCGAAACTTGGCATTTAATTATTAATGTAATTAACAAAGCCCAGTATATTAGCTATACCAGCAATTCTGTCACCAGCAGAAATCGTAAATATTTCCATATCACATTAAGGTTGTTGTGGCTATTGTAAAATATTGTTTACGTTCATCACCACTGCAAAATTACGGCAGTTATTAGACCTTCTGCTAGATTTATAGCACAACAAAAATACTCACAGCGCTATTTCCAATACATGTGGCCTTCCATCCCCCGTAATTTCCACTAGGGTCACTCTGATAGAGCTGAAAGCCATAGTGCTTATCCCAGCCAATGTACAGCAATGAAACACCAAAGGGACGTTTTCCTTTAACAAAGAAAAAAAGCCAAATATATAAATAATCTAAATTTAGTATCACTATAGTTACTTGAGCTCAGTGAATGTAGCTAAACCCTTCTCTGTGAACTTAAGCATTCATAAACTGTTTTGTATTCTGGCTACCATAGATAAGCTCTATTACAAATTCCACTTCTGTTTCTATGATTTGGATACAGCCAGGAGAGGGAAGAGACAAGAGGACCAGGGCTGAATTTCATTATTATGGAAATAGCAGTTAGCTTCCAGATTTGAAAATATTATCTCGGACTTTACCTATCTTGTTAACAAAACTATGGTAATTTCAGGTTCACTCATGAAATAAGAATGCAGGAATTTCTAGTGTTCTACACCACTGTAAGATTAATATAGTTAACCGTAACATGTTAGTTTCGAATAGCCGGAAGGGTATGGAAGGCTCCCAACAGAGCGAAGTGTTTGAGATGATGAATGTGCCGATTATCCTGATCTGATCATTGTATGTACTGAAACATTATGTACCCTATGAATATATACAATTGTTATTTGCCAATTTAAATAATATAATTTAAAACAAAAGGGTCTGTTTTTCAATTTTTTACTACCTCAAAAATGTTAAGTCATAAAATGTCTTAACTTTTTGGAATAAAATTTTCAAAAAAATTAAGCACCTCCAAGTTGTGTATAAGCTTGTTTGATGTCGCACAGTGCTGTAACCAACTGCTCACAAGGTATTGGCTCCTGATACTGTAATAAATACCTAGGATAAAGAGATTGGCACATTAGTTTTCTCTAAAACACAGACAGACTCTAAGGTAAATACTCTCTGAAAAGCAATCTATGCCATAGGGACAACCTAACAGTTGTTTGTAATTTGAAGGGGAGGGAACAAGTCAACATCTGAATATTCTCATAGGAAATAACATTTTGTTAAGTTTGGTTTAAAAAAATCTGTAATTTTCAATTAAAATATTTTAATGACTGCAAAAGTGAGCTCTCCTTAGAAACATCAAAACTGATTTATCATCAGTTATGCTATTTATGACCATACCTTTGAGCAATGAGCCTTAGTTCGTTAGTCAGAACATTAGCATCAGAAGTTATGCCTGCCACACTGCAAGCCATGTCCCTTAAAGAAAAAAGATATTGATCTGTAAGCAGGCAAGACATTTGTGAGGAGAGCTACAAGTATTAAAAAAGCACAGAGCTCTATTAG